AATAAATATTCATTGTTTTTAATCAATTTTTCTCTCAACTGGAGCCTTTGCTAACTGAGGTTACCATTCTACTGTAAATGCGTTTTTGGGGGTGTCCCGAATAGCCCTGGGGGGGTGTCCTGACTCAGGACTCCTGAGTAGCCCCGCTGTGCGGAAATGGCCGCCATTTTTTCTTGGAATGAGATAGTACAATTCCGTCAATTACGATTTCAAGCCGACACCTGGGTGACTGGGTGTAGGTACATGACCGTACATCTTTTACCTAAAATTTTTTAATACGGCGAATATTTTTTTTTTCTGCAGACCTTAGCACAAGTTAGCAGAAGTAACTTTTCAAAATAGTGTTTTTCACCATTTTCTTCAGGAAATTTTCAAAGCTAGTAAATGTAGTATTTTTCAACTTCCTTTATACTACATAGATAGGAAAAATGTTGACGTTTATGCCACTATATTTAGTTTTGCTACTAAAACAGTTATACGCCGTGTCGGAGGACTGTCCCGAGTAGCCCCGCAAGTCCCAAGTAGCCCCGGTTGACGGTACTATACCAGATGGAATCCTAATGACCGAAATTTATATCTGGGGTGGCCCAGTGGTTGAAGTTCAGAGTACTAGGATTGAAGCAGACAGCAGAGAGGCGCAGGTTCGATCCCAGCTCTGTGCGACAGTTTCTGGTCAGAATCGGCAAGGAGGCCGGGCGGTTAAGCACAGCAGAATTGTAACAGTGAGTTGCGAGTTCAAGACCGCGAAATGCTGTGAATGTTCTGCGATGTTAAGAATCGGCAACAGGCCTTGGCCTACGGCCTAATAAACGCTGAAACCGCTATACATAGTGACAAACCAGAGATTTTTTAGAATCAATTCATTTTTAATTTCCTCATTTACTCAAGACTTAAACCAATTTCTTATGTAAGGTAATGCTGCACTATGCTGGTATCCATGATACTTTACTGGTCTACTTATAGGACTCAAAAATGAACTTGAGGGAGAGTCTAAAAAACTCTCTGCTTTGCCACTATATATATATATATATAAAATACTTACTATGTGGTTCTAGCAAAAACGAAAAAGATAGTCGATTGTTCAATGCTCGTATACACATGTCCGTAGTCGACCGAAGCTTAAACCGGAGTGCAACTATAACTTGTCTCTCGTCAATAGCGCGCGCGGTACTGTGCAGTGTGCGACTGTGCGCTGAGAAGTTGGGAATCGTTGCTTTGACTGGTTATGAACGCGTTCAATACCAGTACCGTCTGTTAGCTAGGGAAAATAAACAGTCTGCCGGTTAGTGCGTTGCTCTATTCGTTGTGTATTGACTGCATAATCAAATTTAAGGCATTGAGATTATTTTAATTAAATCATTGCTAAAATTAGCTTCATTAACGAAAAAAAGATTTGGCCATTTAAAAGAAAGTCTGGGTGGGCCGTCACCCAGACGCCCAGGTAACGGCTAAAAAACCCAGATCTGGGTGGAAAAACCCAGCGCAGGGAGGCCTGCTGGCAGCACCGCACGGCTCCGAACGAATAGATACTGTTATCACTTATCCGTGACTGAATTACTGGGTTTGTCGACGAGTTTCATCATCACAAAATTCACACTGTACGAGTTTTGAACGAAACAAAACAAACCTATAATGAATTATATACGAGACAAAAACCACATCGAACGAGTTTATTACCACTCGTTTGATGTGTGCATCACTCATTTTAATATGAAAAACTTTGTTCCGTTTATTAAAATTCACGTTCGTTTTAAGTTAACAGAGACCTTAAAGATTGAGTTAGATTGGTTATTGATTTTGAGACAATTAATGAAGCATTACAGTGAGCGCAGTCGTGCACCACAACACAGCCGTAGATCACCTGGGCCACTAATACGAAGGGCTGGATCATGGTTGAACTATAAAAGGTTAACCCACGAAAAGTTCCGCCTTTTAGTGCGTCTTTCTAGTGACGTCATTTGGATCGTAAACGTAAACAAACCCTTGTCGGGCCGTGCTTTACGTTGTTTTGGTGCCATATATGAGATCAGATAAAATAAAATTGACCTCCTCAAAATGGCCCGTAAAACTGTTATAACTGCAAATAATGCTATTGTTCACGGTGCCGGTGTTACATACTAATTTTCTTGAGCGGAAACATGTTTAAATGGCAAAAAAAGATGGGTCGACGGACAAACTTCTATTTGTATATGCTATGCCAGTAAATATGGCTGCCGCTCTGCTAACGTTTGAAGAAATTGTGGCGCCATTCAAACGAATTGATTATTTGAGCTAACGCTGTATATTTTTTTCTCTGCTATTATTTTTGTTAATATTTTTCAGTTGATTTATTGCTTACTTGCCATTTTTTCCGGAAAATTGTATTGAGAAATCTCAATATTGCATTAGATTTTTGGCGGCCTATATGACCGAATCAACCCAGTGCAGAGCTTGTAAAGTTGTAAATCAGTAACTGTTGATGTGGAGGTGGGGATTGGGAAATCAGTGGGTATTTTTATTATTCTTCAATTATTATTTTAGATATTTTGGCATTTATAAAACTACTAAATTGTAAACTCTTTAGTGAAATGAGTAGAATAGTATGCTTATTATAATTTTATAAAGGTACCTAATACAATTGTGTGAGTGTGACAGACAGTGAGAGTGAAACTGCCAGCAGCTTCATGATCTAAGGTGCGCACAAAACGAAAATGAAGTTCTGTCGAATAATCTGAAAAAGGAAAACGAACTACTTTTGAAAGAAAACCATTCTCTTAAAGAAGCAGCAAAATATGAAAATAATCGGTCAGTTATTGTCAACAAAATTACGCGTTTATTGAGCCCATACTTCTCGGATACTCAGATAAAATTTTTCCTAAATCCAGATAAGAAAATTACGGCATGGACTGATGATGACATCGCTTGTGCGCTAACCATCCGTAGTGTCTCTGCCAAGTGTTACGGATGGATGAGGAAACACTGGAAAATACCTCTCCCCGCAGTGTCTACACTTAATCGTTGGGTTCAGGGTATATCTTTGGAACCTGGTCTGCTCACGACTGTCGTAGAAATAATGAAAGCAAAGGGGAAAAATATGCGCCCAGTAGACCGAGTAACAGTGCTTTCTTTCGACGAGATGAAAGTTAACCAAATCTACTCCTACGACAGAGGCACTGACCGCATATACGACGCACATCAATCTGTGCAAGTGGTAATGGCAAGAGGCATTATCGGGCAGTGGAAACAACCAATTTTTTCCGATTTCGATTGCAAAATGGATCGCACTAAGTTGATATCAATCATTTTTGCACTTGAGGAGGCGGATTTTCCAGTGCATGCCACTGTTAGCGATCTTGGTGGGAGCAATCAAGGTCTGTTGAGATCTATCGACGTCTCGGTAAATCAGCCGTTTTTTCAAAATCCCTTTGCACCCAGAGACATCCATGTGTTTTGTGACGTTCCTCATCTGATGAAGTTGAGTTGAAGTACAATGTGCTTGTACCTGGATATTATTCCAATATGCGTTGGTCACAGAGCTGCAAACAACCATTTCTGCCTCGAATCTTACAATGAAGATGTGTTCGTTAGTATTTTTTGTATAAAGTTAATCGGTGTTCGGAATTGTGAAAAAGTTTGTCGTAGGATCTTTTTTAAGCATTATTCTAATGCATCTGCAATTTGACGTGCTCAAATTAAAAGGCATATAACATCAACTTCACTGATATAAGCGATCATCAGTGAAGGATCACGCGTCTTATTTATCAGTTAAATAAATTGTGCTTCGAATTGATTTTGCTATCTTCAAGAATTGTGAACTGGTCATCAAGGAGTTATATTAAATAACCCGGTAATTATGTCTCGTTATACCTTGGTCTTCACGATAATTCTCTACTAGACGAAACTGTAAAGGAGAACAAATCTTTGTAAAGATGTGTATAAGAGACAGGTTTGGGTCTCAAGCAACGTTCCACTGGACGGCTGGAAAAATTGACAGAAAAAGCCCAACTCTCACTGTTTTAATTACCGTGTAGAATACGCGGCTGGAAAACCCGCGAGAATTTCGATGATTAATATCCATCATTTTGGCTTAAATAACAAGTTTATGGAATGATTAATGTAGACGCTCTGCTCGTGCAGTTAGTCATAAACACATAATTATCAAGTCGAATTAACACAAATTACCGGAAAATTAATCGAAATTTCGACAGCACACCCAAGTTTTAAATTCATTCACATTCTCTCACCGCTCTCAAATGCATGTTATTTCCACCCAAATTTTACACAGATCGAAAAATTAGTGCACATATGTACCGACAACGCATTAAAGGGTACAAAAAATGCGAAAATGTTCATTTTGTTGAACAAAAATGGATACAGTACTGATCATCAATTTCACATTAATTAAAGAAAGCCTTTTCACTCGCTGGAATAATTGTTAATTTGAAAACTTGAATTGCATACCTGACACAAGAGACTTACGTACAATAATTGTTATTTAAACTGAGAACGTAAAAAACACCTCGCTTCATATACTAATAATATGAACTCATCTTTATATTTAAACTTAATTTCCACACATTTTCCCTGAAGCCGACGCCCAGCTCAGCAATACCTAATTAGAGCTAATTAACTATTTTCACAACAATNACCCTCATAACATGAACATCTTTTCACTAAGTTGCCTTGAATCATAATAAATAACGTGTTAGTCGCATATAAGAACAGTTTCATTTTCTCGTAATATGTTGTGCGCATGAAGGACCAAAACGCTCAAAAATTGTTAGCAAAAGCTTCTTCATTATTATGTAGAAATTATGATGACTCGATGGAAAATCTTCCAAGTGGAACTTTCCAGGAAACTCAAGCATACTCTGGGACGGTGTAAACGATTTAAAAGCATCATAGATTTTGGCTTTTTAAAAGCATGGAACGGTCTATATTACAGCAGTTTCACTGATGTTTTGATTGCATTGATTGTGGAGGCGACCACGCACGACATCTTGAGCCACAGTGCTCCACGGTCAGATGCTGGACGGGAAGAAACAGTGGCGGTACACATACTTCCTTGTGTGTGGGAGAGAGCTTCTGTGAGTTGCCTTAGGTGCAGCGATCAGCAGGCCGGAGTGAGGCTCATCTTCCTGGGTTTCTTTACAGTCACTGCCAAACCTGAAAAATGTATTGGAATGAAGTCAGATAATTCAAAGTTACGAAATTACCATTCAGTTTAGGAAATTTTTGTGGACTCTATTCATTCATGACCTGCTGCATCGTGCAATAAATGTATCTTAATATGAACAGAGATAAATTCTTCTTGCAATGGGTGGTAAAAAGAAACTAGGATATTTACATGACAATCCCCAACTGTACAGCAATTCATGGGACAATATTATATCTAGCTAATAATGAACTCGGAACGTCTCTGAAAGTAAGGTTTCACTTGAAATTTCATACATTAGTCACCTGCACTTGAAATAAACACTTGAAAAGTTTCCCACTGACTGAATTTTTGGAAATATATCATTTGGCATGGAAGTCACTTCCATGAATTAGATTGATCTATCAATCAAATGCTGAATGGATGCAAGAATGGATTTATGACACACATTCTGATTTTTCCAAGTTGATTAGCTGGACTAGTAGGGTTTTTGCTCTTAGAGGGTTTTGCTCTAAGGGTTTGCTAGGAGGGTTTTGCTAAATTTGCTAGGAGGGTTTATGCTAAATGTAATGATTTGATAACAAAATAATGCAACATTATGCAGGACTGAAACTATAAAGCACCTATGTTACCATCACAAAACAAAACATGTATTACATTACACAAAACACATTACAAAAAAATATTGTACATTACAAAAAAATTATTTCCCATCTGCCAAGGTAAAGAATTGAAAAATTTGTCTCTATGTATGGGTATATTTCTCAGTCTAAGTCTGAGAAAATTAATAATATTGTTAGACTCATTAAGCTTCAACTGATACATTGTCCTAGTAGAAGATTTTGCAATGTTTTTTATACGAATTTTTCTCAGAAACAATTTTTTTGTAGAGCGACTAGGATTACAAGATGATTGACTTAGCTAGCTTGTTCCCACCCAAAATTATTTTAAAACTTTCTTTCTCATCTACAGACAGGTTAAAAATTTTCTCACTGTTTTTACAAATTGCACAATTGAAGTAAAGTTATTAGATTTTGCCATCTTGAAAATATAGTCTCAATTCACCATTAATGCACAATCAGGTATAAAATATTAGGTAAATATAAAATAAAATTTAATTGCACAATGCCAATCAGGTACAAAATAGCTATTAGGTAAATATAAAATAAAAAATAAAATATATTTTTGAAAAATGTGCAATTAAATTTTATTTTATATTTACCTAATATTTTATACCTGATTGGCATTGACTGATCATGCTAGTGATGCTACTACTACTAGGCTGGATCAATGATCATCAATCTTGAATATATGAACGCACATTCCCAGAATTCTACCCTAATTATTTGGTGGCTATCAGCCTATCACATATGATTCATATGTGCACATAGCTTAGCACATGTTTGTACCTATATTAGTATTACCCCTTGCCGCTGGGTTCCCCTGCCAAATTTCACCTTGCAGCACCAATTGCCAGGATGCACAAATAGGCTATTCTAATAGTAATATCCAACTATGAGGATTCTTTTTCTTTGATATCAATTATATCATCATCATTCATCAATAACTTTATTCCCTAGGTAATTTTAAATATCTGGTAATTTTCCTCACTTTCTTAGCCCCTAACATAAACACACAACAGTATTTTTATTTAATCTCTAGGCATGCCATTGGCCTTACCTGCTGCCTTAGTAGCCTAGGTGTTAGTGTCACATCAAATACAAGGATCTGATTCTACTCACAGTCTCGCTGAAACATGTACAACATCGTAAATAAATTGAGAAGTATCAGATTAAAACTGACATAATTAATCAGAGATAATTAGACATCAACTCACTTGACATAAGCGGGATTCGTTGAGGAGAGAGCTTCATTTTTTATGGTCATCTTCTGAATGATCGGATCGGACAGGAACTCCTTACCGATTACGGCCTCTCAGCAAGTCGGCCCTGTTTGTTTGTTTCGAATTTATTTGTTTTACACTATAGAATTGCTCAGTAAGCCCTATATACTTAGAGACAGACTAGCTGAAGCTACTGGGATTTTTATATGAATTTTGAGGAGGGCAATTTTTTTAAATTGACCTCAAAATCGGCACAAAAACAACGTCTTTCGCGACAGTATTTACATTTTGGGCCCACGGTGACGTCTCAGTCGGAACAACAAACGACATCCGCAAAGAGCAGCTGCGCGTGGGTCAACCTTGTATTAATTCAACCATGGGCAAACCTCTCTGACCATCGAAGAGGCCAAATTGTTGGTGCCCATATGGCAGACCCTAGTGTGACAGAAACTTCCCGAATGTTTAACGTGTCAAGAGGCACTGTCGTAAAAATAATTACTGCTTTTGAAAGAAAGTAAAAAACAACCCCAGCAAAGACCAGGTATGGCCGAAAGTCGAAGTTGTGTGAGAGAGGCCGTCGGTCACTAAAACAAATTATTAGGCATAATCAAAAGCCACCGGCTATTAAAATTACGGTAAACCACAATCGATATCGACAGAAACCAGTTCACATAAAAACTGTTCAGCGGGAGCTGCACAAATCAGGGCCCATACTTTCAAAAAAAGTTCAGAGATCGTAAGTTCATCAGTCAATCATTGGCGGCCATTCAAGCCAAATCCACGAATCATAGACAAGAAAAAAAAGTGTAAGTACTTACGTTCACTTAGCGAGTTTTGAAAATATGGCCCCTGGTCTCCAAGGAAGAGCTGCGCTTAGAAAACCTCCAGTTTCAAATACAAAGGCTTCAAAGCGTTTAGAGTGGTGTAAAATCCTCCGCTGCTTGATCAGTGAAAAAATGCTATTTTCTTTGACGAATCATTGTTTACCTTATTTCTAATCTCTGGCCGAGTGTACGTTTGGAGAGGACTATAAAAAAATTGAAAGAGGATTAAACTGGGTTTAGCTGAAAGAGGGTTATAAGAGGGTTCAACTGAAGAATGTTCTAATTTTTTTTGGAAACAATCCACAATCTGCACGAATTAATAAATCAATACCTTGGAGAATTGAGGCTGCAATTACCCCATAAGGTGGACCTACACTAGAATTTTTTGTTGGTGTTTCCCTTATTTTGTCTAACCCCCCATATGTCAAAACAATTTCGTAGCTTCCCTCATAACTCGTATATTAATCTGTTCATTTTACCGTAACTATGGTTCTTCAACAAACTTCATGATGTCCGATTACCTTATAGATTTTCGTGAATTTTTATTCCCAAGCAGTAGCATGAAAGCAACAAACAATGAGACCCAAAATCATTTTATGTAAAAAAATCCTTTGTTGGCAAAACTCAGTAAAGTTTAAGCTGGCCTCATGGATTATTTACCTGCTTCTGAGAAAAGGAAGAAGGTGGCTGTCGCAGGGCTGGAAGTCAGAGTCCAGGTCCAGAAGATGAAGGTACATTGCTCCAGCGTGGTGCTGGACCAGCTGCTCCCACTGGCATGTCTTCAAAACGTTCGGCGACGCCATTACCTTCACCGTTGCCTCTTCAGTTCGTGGTAACATTGAATAAAAAGCATTCAAGTCATGATCTGCAAAATAAAAGTTAATATGAGTATTAGCAATATTTCATGTATAGTTTCTCTTTATAACCAATATTGTAAATTTTAATTTCAAATGATTTGTAGAGCCCGAAGTTGTTTTGATTTAGCCTGAAACCCATGACATCTCATTGGGATTTCCTATAGCATTTCTTTATGCGCTAGTTTTTAGACCTATGTCGAATTTTTAATGGTAAAACCTGTGATATATCAGACATAAACTTTGCAAAATTAGGTATGAGTTTTCAAATAGTTCGAATATAGTCAAAAAAATCAAGAAAACGTCTCAGATTTTATTCGCATACATATTTCTTTCCTGTATATGTCGTCCTTCTACCTTAATTTCCAAGTTATTCGGTTTGTGAATAGGTGAAAATTAAATTAACAGCTCCACAAAATCAAATTCACTCATAACACATTAAATACAAATATCTTACTTGTCCTTATCACCCATACAGTTTCTTTTTCTTCTTTGTGCTTCATTGCAGCACAAGGGGCAATATTTTTCAGTGCTGGTTGGCCGCTTTGAGGGCCGTAAATGAGCGGCACAGTCGGATCCAATGTTTGTCCTCCCCGTTTTGTTACTGGCCACTTAGTCTCTCTGTCACCAGTGTAACTTTGAGCTTGGCTGTTATCAGAGTAACAAAGCAGAGGTTTTGTGCCACGAAGTTTGGAGTACGTTGGAGTTTGGTCTTTATCCTTGATCTGACCGGATGCATTGTAACTCGGAGGCTGGTAGTCATCAAAGATATCCTTAATTTTGCTGGATCCAGTGTAACTCTGAGGCTGGTCGGCACCAAAGATATCCTCAATACGGACGGATTGGTGTACGGGCAGATGGTACGTGGGGGCACTTACCATCCGTACGTGGGGGCAATTATTGAACATCATCAATATAAGTGTTAAAAATAAATTTTTAGATCGATTTTATTTTAGCTTATGGATTTATATTGAACGTATGCCTGAGGTTGTGGTTGTTTGTCAAATAAAATGTTCCGTTTTAAGGATTGATTGATTGAAATGCAAAAATCAATACACTCTGCACACATCTATATAGAGTTTGACCTTGCGTCTATAAATTCAGCTATATACATTAAAATTCATAATGTTCTGTTCGAACAGCAATACCTGGTGTTGACTTCAGGTTGAAGTTCATCATGACAGGGTAGGAACTCAAACTTCAAATCCTGAGAGACAGGACTACTCTGACCGTCGGCAGACTTTGTTACTAAGGACGACGATGATTCGGGAAATATCTGCACCCCACGGTGCTGTGGTCTGAGTCGTTTGTGAAGTTCGTCCGGCGAGCTACATACTTTAGGGGCGCAGCCAAAAGCCCCTGAACATGTTCATTTGATCAAAAGAATTTCATTTTTTCATTCAAATTTTGATTTTCGAAACTATAGTAAAATAGCACAGAAAATACGGCAAAAATTCAGCATTTCCAAAAAGAAAACGCTTTTTTGTTCAGCTCCATACTTAGCACTGACATTACAAAATGCAAAAACTATCAATTAGCAAAATGGAAGTTCGCAAAACATAAGTTAACGCCTGAATTGACAAGTGAAAGACATGGTAATGAGCATACGAATCTATCTATCCACAAATTCAGAAATATAAGAACTAAAGACAGCATTCAAACTAGATTTATACTTAAAATTTTACTGTGATTCTTGAATTTGCTATTCGAAAACATCTGAAGTGTAATAAGTCATTTAATTAAAGGCAACATAGGATATAGGGCGTTGCACTGTTTGAAGTGAGAGCCTTTAAGGGGACCGGCTACCCTAAAATTTTCAATATTGGCGTTTTTCGGTTTTTGTGCTCATCTGAAAGCTGGAATTCTGCTCTTTCCAATGGTACCACTGCCGTTGCTTTACGCTAATATTTACGTTCATGACGTCTCTTTAATTGGAAGCGGGTGAGAGAGTTCTTCAAGTAATTAGATATAAAGTAATTAGCTGCTGAAATCTTTGAATATAGTTTCTACTTGATTTGTTCTGCAGTTACATGCTTAGTCTCATCTTAAAGCTGACATTCTGAGTTTTCCAACGATACTATTGCGATCCATGTACGGCAATATTGACGCACACAGCCGGGCTTTAACGGGGGGTGGGGGGTGGAGGTCCTTCAGTAAATAGACCTAAGAAAATTACAGCGGCAAGACTACATATCTTGGTGTATCTGGCATCTGAGCTCAGTTACCCTCCTAACATTGTACGTAGAGGTGCGCTACAAGTTGCTGCTAGCATCCTTGAGTGGATTAAGCTACAGAAGCCTGTAGTTTGGTATCCATGCTACATTGAGTGCCTATTTCGAGGCGCGAGGGACTTTGTCGCGCCGTCCTGAAAAGTTCAACTTATTGTCACGGAAAACCTATCTCCTCCTACAGTTTTCAAGCTACAGCAATGAGACATACACCATTCGATTCGTAAGGAAATTACCTAAAAATTTGATGATATATATTTTTTAATTTCTGTCTGGTTCGTTTTTTATATGGGGGAGAAGGGGGGGGGAGGGGGGAAAATGAGAAAAATGGGATAAAACGCGCATAAAAAAAACTAAGGGGGAAAATGAGAAAAGTGATCATCAAATTTTTAGGTATGGTCCTTACGAACCGAATGATACGTGTCTCGATGTTGTAGGATGATATTTGTAGGAGGAGATAGATTTTCTAAAGTACCCCTTTTTATCCGTTTTCTATGAATTTCACGTTTTCTATCAATTTTTTCGAAAAATTCATAGAAGCAAAATGTTCTTATTTTTACATTTTACGTATGTATGTGAAGTTTCATGATGATCGGATAATAACTAGAAGTTTTTCCGGAGGGTAGCCGGTCCCCTTAGCATAATGAGGCGGATGCACTACTGACTTCCCAATCAGATAACATGTCTGTCAATGCTCAGTCTGTCAAGAATATAAGTTGCATAGCGTAATTTTGTGAACATTTAATACCACGCAAAAATTTTTTACCTATTTTGTCTTACACAAAATGTCAGAGAAGCGAAATAAAAGAAATCACTAGTAAAGCAAGCAGCGTTAATAAATAACGATTCATATGTTTCAGGGGCTCAATTATATAGGATATGGAGAACAATTATTAAAAAAAATAATTTTCCACTCCGAGGAATCAGGGGATAAATTAGCTATGCACTCTTAGCCCATGCGTGGGTCAGCTTAACCCAGTTTGGTTGGGCTCTGACACTCGACTTTTAATTTCAAATCTGCCTCCATGAAGCAAAGTGTCTTCGTTTTTTGTGTCTGCAGCTTTGTATAGACAACGAATTCAGGTCTTTCAAAACAGTGCACGTGGCGAAATTCATCTTGCATTAACAATGCACTCTTTATGTGGGTAATCCTGGTCCAATATGACGAAACATGCATGAGTGTTGGGATTCACTCTTCTGGGTGGCAGGCTGTGAAGTCTAGCGTGCATTGAAGCAACCACCTGCCTATTTGCATTCGTTCCAGCGTGGCCTGGGACAGCTACGTCAGAAACACATTATAGTTGCAAACAGAGACTTGACTACGAGTAGATTATTAGTTTGACCAGTTGCCACCATGCCTGGGACTTCGAAGCTCTATAGTTAATTTTCAATCTCTAAAGCATCGCAGTAACTCTAATGATACTTCAGCAAGTGAAGAAACTTTCTTTCAGAAACTTGGCTGACTCACTTTGACGCTCTTTGCGACGTGGGAAGCCTCTCGTCCCAACCCTGCAATAGTGGTTGATACGCTTAGTTTTTTGTTAAACAAAGCGGAGCTGTTCAATCATATATGAGATGGGTACAAAATTACGAATAGATATATGCTTAAAATCCAGAATATAAAGTATAGAAAGACACAGCATACTTGAAATAGAAAGTAACGATTTTTTTGGATTATTGGCCGCACTATTAACTAAATCTAATAAACTTTGCCTGTTGCCTTATATTTCTGAATTGAATATCTTAGGTCAATTATGCGTTAAACACGCATATTTCACCCATAGTATTTTTACCAACTGTTATGCGCAGATATTTATTGACGTCTGAATCCAAATTGGAGTTGGACTGTAGTGACATGTCATCGTCACTATCGTAATTTCGTCGTATCGTAATTTTGACAAAGCCCGAGCCATTCTCTCAGTGTTGAGTAACTCACAATCCATATGCATGGTTAATTTATAAGCAGGAATAATCGAATCTAATTGATTCAATTATTCGAATCAATTGGCAGCCTTGTTTGGCAGCCTTTTCAATGAATTATCACCCACGATTCTTGCATGGGTATACCAGAGAAATAAGACCACCCCTTTAATTGTTCTCAATTGCCACGTTATCAAATCTGTTCTTCTGAAATTGTTCTTCATTAAAAATAATTTTTGTTGTAATTTGACAAAAAATAAGTTTTGTTGTCAGATCTGCTTTCGTTATGCTTAAATACGGAGTGACAGCCTTTGCGGCGCATTTATTTATATACGATCACGAAATTGATGCAAAAATTTCCCCTCATATTTTTCGTAGGAATATTTATACTCGTTCACTTAGGAAATAGGTTAAGCTATAATCGAAGAAAATGATTAGTTAGAAAATTACGGTCGATAATCTTGCTAAATATCCATATCCTGTCACACAGTTTACTACTGACCCAGTAAAAGGTGAAACTTTCGATGCCATTGGTTCAAAACAAGGGTAAAGTTTCCATGTCTTTGGCTCAGTATAAGGTGAAGGTTTCCATGCCTTTGGCTCAGTAGAAGGTAAAGTTTCCCATGCCTTTGGCTCAGTAGAAGGTAAAGCTTCCCATGCCTTTGGCACCGTAGAAGGTAAAGCTTTCCAGACCACAGGAGCGAGGAGGGTAGGGACATCATCTGTCACGTGGAGCATCACGTGACAGATGCTGCCCAGCGGAAGATCGCTTATATGTTCAGAGCCACAACACACAATAATTATAATAATATTAATATTATTAAAATAATAATTCAGGATCGTAATCAGAACACAAATTAAAAAAATTATCGAAATTCTAACACGGTTTGGGAAATGAATCCACTGAGTTACTAAATTGTGATTAATAGGTCACCAAGATAATTTGAATATTTAAATATGATCAAGTATAGTAGCTTAGCCACATGTTGGCCAGCTTAAATTATCCGTGAGATTTGAGACTTCAGTTATAAAAAAAGTATCCAGAGTCATGTTATCCCGAATGTCATTTAGAATTGCAGAAGTAAAATGTGTTAATTGAAGATAGATACGTAAATGTTTATATGAAAATGATGGTTCAATCTAATTAGTTTCATTTCCTAAAGATAATGGGAAAAGAAGAAATGATAGAATTCAATAAATAATGCAAAATATATAGTACTAATAACACTTATAACACTAAACTTATTCACACAATAAGTGAACAGGTGGTGGTAATGGATGTAACCTCCTCGGCACAGTATCCATATAAAATGTTCATATAGTGTTGTTCATTTATCAATCCTGAGAAGTGTAAAAATAACCTTCAAACTTCCTGTTAACTAAGTTTTGAAGACCCTGAGTTCTTCAGAACTCACACTAGAGGTCCAGTAATGTGAGCTTCTTCACACACGCGCATGATGCTCAACTTTAGATCAAGAATCTTATGTGCATGAGGGAATATTTCAATAAAAGTGTCCTCAAAATCTTATTACTTTACTTCAACATTCTTACTCCTCATCCCCATACATCTATATCATATGTCTGATATAAAATGGTCAAAAATCTTGTGTGAAAATATAGTAATTTAGGAAGTTGTTCATCCGTATTCACTTCAGTTAAGACTACGGACTTGCGAGTCCATCACTGCAGACACTCACGAATTATTCGAGTACCGCGTCTGGCCGCTATCAGCGCTCCTGATGCCGTCGCGGTGCAGCTGCAGCAGCAGCTGCACCAGCTCGTCTTCCTTCAACCAACAGTTTGGCAGTGATATGCTTCCCAGTCTGTGCATGGAATCAGAAATATGTTTATACAGGCCATGATTACTAGGTCTTATGACATAGTAACAGAATCAGACCAGCTGAGAAGATCTCATATTTCAAGTGCAATTTATGCTCTCGAATTTTAAGCGCAACACAATCGACTAATCATTCACTGTTTTCTGATAAAGTGCAGTCTGTAGCATTTCGTTCAACCAGTATGCTGAATGACCATAATTAAGAAATATATCTTTTAACAAGTTGTGATCCATCGTTTTTAAGTTCGTGCTCATTTTTCTTCTTAGTCTTCCCAAAAAAGTAATTTCAGTGCCTCTTACCATTCCCGAACGAAACATATAGTGGCATACCACTGTGTAAAATGACCTTTTGCCGACAGGGGCGATCGTGCGAATGATCCGGGCGATGACCTCACAGCTGCCGGGTTGAACGTCAAGCAACAGCAAATGAGGCAATGGATGGGCTGGAAGGCGCACCCCACTAGCCATGACCTCGCTGGTCTCAGTCTTGCATGCGTCCTGCTCTCCCTGGTGAGGCGGAGACTGGGCTGGAAGGCGCACCCCACTAGCCATGACCTCGCTGGTCTCAGTCTTGCATGCGTCCTGCCCTCCCTGGTGAAGCGGAGACTGGGCTGGCAGGCGCACCCCACTAGCCATGACCTCGCTGGTGTCGGTCTTGCATGCGTCCTGCTCTCCCTGGTGAGGCGGAGACTGGGCTGGAAGGCGCACCCCACTAGCCATGACCTCGCTGGTCTCAGTCTTGCATGCGTCCTGCCCTCCCTGGTGAGGCGGAGACTGGGCTGGCAGGCGCACCCCACTAGCCATGACCTCGCTGGTGTCGGCCTTGCATGCGTCCTGCTCTCCCTGGTGAGGCGGATACTGGGCTGGCAGGCGCACCCCACTAGCCAAGACCTCGCTGGTGTCGGCCTTGCATGCGTCCTGCTCTCCCTGGTGAGGCGGAGACTGGGCTGGCAGGCGCACCCCACTAGCCAAGACCTCGCTGGTGTCGGCCTTGCATGCGTCCTGCTCTCTCTGGTGAGGCGGTGACTGGGCTGCATGACAAGAGCCAGCCCAAGTAGCGTCCAGCGGCCAAGTCCTCACTCCTACAAATTGGTCCACAATCAATACTTTGTATATGACCTCTTAATTACCGAATACGAATGATCAACATTGCTTTCAGAATTCAATAAACGTATTCAGAAGGAGTGGAAAAAATTATCAGTCATTAATTCCTCATTAATCAGCGACCTAAGAATTGGCAGAAATCAAATATCAAAAACAAGCTAGGAGGTAAAATATGGATACCGGGGAGTTACACTATCCTGAAACAGCCCCTCATGCTCGCATCGGCTTATCAGTCGGGGAGACTAGCATAGCCTTAACCATGAGCGCTTTCAAGTCTTGGCTGGTCATGCAAGGTTATATGTACAGCGTGGAGAACTTCCCTCCTCTTAAGTAAGACCATAAGAAAGTAAGTATTGTGTCAAAGACGTAGTCAAGGTCTTGCAAGAGGCTTGTAAGTCAGATTTGACGACATGACATGGTAGATCTTTCCGATGGTTCATGTTAGGATACGCTTTCAAATACGCATAGAGTTAGGAGGATAAAAATGCGTTCCCCCTCCTCCTCTCACCCTGCCTTTACCCTGCCCTCACCCTCCCTTCTCCCTTACGTCACCCTGCACTCACTCTCCCTATCCCTCACTTCATACTCACCCTCACCTCCCCTCACCCTGCCCTCTGTTGCAGCGCTCATCTGGTAGCTGATGAGGGCCTACACGCTCTCAGTGCTGTCACCCTCCCCTCACCCTGCCCTATAAACTAACTAAACTCTCCTCACCCTCCCCTTTCCCTCACTTCACCCTGCCTTCACTCTCCCCTCACCCTGCCCTCTGTTGCAGCGCTCATCTGGTAGCTGATGAGGGCCTACACGCTCTCAGTGCTGTCACCCTCCCTTCACCCTCACCTCCCCTCACCCTGCCCTCTGTTGCAGCGCTCATCTGGTAGCTGATGAGGGCCTACACGCTCTCAGTGCTTTCCCAGCTCACCGAGCTCCTCAAAATGCATTTTGAGGAGGTAACTAGCTCTCGTTAATTAATTAGGGGACCATGTAGGTCCAAAATCGATAGTTTTGGCTTTTCCGGTTTTTAGTCTCATCTTAAAGCTGACATTCTGAGCTATCCAACGGTACCATTACCATCTCTGTACGTTGATTTATGCATTCACTAGAGATTCCGCAAGGGAGGGAGGTGGGTGGGGTCTTTAAGAAATTAGACTGGAGGAAATTCTCTGCCCAGCCTATAAATAGTCTCTACTCGGAGTGAAGCTCAATCACCGTCCTGGCGTTGAACAGGGAGGTGTAAATGTAGTCGCTCCCACCATCCTTGACTGGTACAAGCTCCATTAACGTTTAATTTCGTATCCTTGCTACATTGAGTGGCTATTCGGATGCGCGCGTCACTTTGTCTGGTTGTACTGAACATTCACACTTTTTGTCACGGTAAAGTTAATAACTAGTAGAGTTTTGAAGCTACAGCGATGAGACATATACCATTCGATTTGCAATTGAAATATCTAGCAACCCTCGAGCCATTTTTTTTCGATTTCATTTCAGTTTTGAAAATATTTTGAAAAAAGGGGTAAAAATTCAAAAAAAATTCCGAAATTCAAAATTTTTCAGAAAAATCATCATAACAATAGAATCAAGAAAAAAATTGAAAAAGTGGCCCGAAAATCGCTAGATATGATCTTTACGAATTGAATGATACGTGTCTCGATGTTGTAGCATGTGATTTGTAACAGTTATTAACTTTTTTAGAGTACCCCCTTTTTGGCCGTTTTCTATGAATTTCACGTTTTCTTTCACTTTTTTTCGAAAAATTCACATGAACAAAATAGTCGTCAATTTCGATTTTACATATATGTACCAAGTTTGGAGATGATCCTTGCCTAAATATAGAAAATAGATTTTGACCTACATGGTCCCCTAATTAAACTTTCGCCTGTCCACGCAACTGGGACAGCTAGCACCATCAGAAATACTTTTCGATTGGATTTTTCATTTTATTTCTAGGAAAGTTCAGAGCTTGGACTATAAACTTGGAACATTAAATGTTAACCACAGTGGTGTTTGTTTCTGTCATGAAACTTGAATTAGGATTCGGTTGATGGACGATCACGTGCTATAAAACCTACATGACCACTCTAATGCTTGGGCCTATAGTTAGCTTCGGAGGGGCCAACAACAGTACAAGCATCAACAAAACAAAAGGCTACTCGCTCCGACCATGCAGCTGGCACTTACTAAGAACCAAGTATTTGCCCTGCAGTGCATCCAAGTTAACAGGGGCGGTGATCGAGAGGTCAAGCTCTGTTAAGGCCGCCGATGAAACAGAAGCCACCGCGGCAACGCTTGCCGCGCTGCTAATGCTGCTCTTCAGTGAAGTGAGCTGACACCTGAGTGTGCACAGTTTGTTGAATGACAAAACATCACATCATTAGCCAAGGTTGTATATTTTGTTCGATAATGAGCACCAAATTATGTAGTCATGTTTGACCGCTACTGGGAAAATTTGCTAAAACTTTATGCACACATCGAGGCATTATTATTTCATGAGAAAAAATTCGTTGCTAGTGTGCTGAAATGGCCCCGGTGAAAATCAACAATTTTTTAACGCTTTTTGCCTCTTGAAATGTTTTTACCAAATGCGTGAATGACTGTAATAAAAGTCATAGATTTTGTACCCAGAAAGTATACGGTGATACTCTTATATTCTCATTTTTATTGAAAATTTCCGATTAACTTTACTCAAAGATTGTAATAGTCATGTAGTCAACATTCGAAGATTTTGTATGCGCGGAGCATGAACAAATTTAACATTCAATTATCTGCTTGACAGCTGCTGTGTTCAAACCTTTACTAATGTTATTGTTATGAGTTTCTGGTTCATTTTTTTTGCTCATGAAGTATCCGAGTAAACAACCGTCTTCGCGAATGAACTTGACTTTTTGGAAACGTTTGTATGCAATTCTTGGCTCCTGCAAATGGGCCCTTATAAGTTCGTCGAACGTTTTCTGTTAAGGAATGGATATTTCGATCAAAGACAAGAAACAGACATGCATCAGCTGAGTAGCTCGGCACTCTAGCAAGCCCGCGAAATTTATCGTTGACTTTCCTTTGCGGTTGTTTGACAAGAAGTGTGTTTTCCCGCATATTCGATTAGCTTTGGTGGGCGCAGGAATTATTCTTTATAGATGGTTTCTGACCTGGACCCGTGGAGGCACCTCAGTAGCTCGTCACAACATATGGTCGAACATTGCGAACGATCAAAAGATTCTAGGAGCTCCAGCTCAAGTTTGCCTCCATAAAGCCGTGTCAGATCTTGCCAGCTGGAGCGTGCAGCGCTCAGCTGGGAAAACGATATCTTGATGTTGATGAGTCTTGGCTGCTCATGTGGCAACATTCGCGATACAGCTATCACATCTCGATCTGAAAACAGAATTTTATAAATCATATTTTTTTTTTCGATATTGCCTACGATTTATATAAAAACATTGCTCTGCGAATAGATTGGTAAATGGTTAATACAAATTAGATTTACTACTTTTTTCTTTGACTACTTGTTCAAGCACATGTATGTCATGAGTATCGCTCACCAGATAACACGTTCCAAGCTTCAGTTTCGGCGATCGTGATCTTGGCCGCACGTTTCGCCAGCTCAGTGACGTCAGGATTTCGTAGCACCAAGTTCTGCCAATCGCTGCTGCTGATGACACCGGCATCCGTTATGGCGTCTCTTAGCTCGGGCCATCGAATTTTAAAATCCTTTGGACTGCTGCTGCTCAAATCCTCTATGACATGCATCAGTACTTCCACTTCCACATTTCTGGAAAAAAATTAGTGTAAAATAAGTCGCATAAAAATCATATCATTTGCAGATACTAACCTGCTTCAAGTAACGCAATCAGATGGTCGTTCATATAGGTAGCTTATATAAACGAAAAATCCGAATTCATGTCGTAATAAAATTATATCTTCATCAAATTTTGCTCCCGAACTCAAAAGAACTTATTGTTGTAGATCACACCACACAAAGAGTTATGGAGGAGCAGTTATTTTGCGACTTATGCGAATTTTCGATTTTGGTTGTGGCACTTCGTGACAAAATACGGTACTGAATTGAGAAAATGATTTTACGGATAATGATTAAGATGGAATAATGAATATTATCGCGCTAGATCTAAATCATCGTATATTGAGATATTACGTAAGCATGGCTTGTGAAATCGGGCTCATTGGGGTGATCACTCTATTTTCAGTTTAACTCAACTATCTACATTTTCCACGTAATTTTAAATGTACTTACTAAATAATCAGATAGAAATGAAATTGATTTAGAGCTAAAATAACCGTTCAAACGATAAGACGTGTAAAATTTACAAAGTGAATTTTTTTTCTGCCTTATAAGAGAAGTTCTTATAATCATGGCTTCTCAGCTGAAATGCGAGAAATCGAAAACTTACCTCGGGTTCGCTGGCCCTTCTCCTTTCAATACTTTCAGTAGGGGTTCATCTGTATTCCTCAGTCGCTCTGTAACATATAAAGCAGCTGATCTTTCCTGGAGTGATTTATGGGCAAACGAGAATGTTGTATAGGAGCTGTTCGATAGCGATGTTTTCATTTTGAGTGCTGATGAGAGAAACACATCGCATATATCCTTGTCAGCCTCTTGAGACATAACTTTTTTCTGGCATTGACGCTTCAATTGTGAGATCTCTTCGTCCGTAAAGGTGGTTTTGTTACAGTTCAGAAACTGTAGAGCAAACTTGCCAATGCCAACAAATAGGTCATCAATTAGTAGATCTTTGTTGTCGAACACGTTGAGCTTTGCAACTAGGGAGTTTTTTTGTAGCTGTAACATGTCTCTTGACACGTCGATGAATGTTTTCCATCGCTTGATATTTTCCGGAGATTTTTTGAAAATGAAGCAGTAGTAAAGTAATACGATTGGCTCCGTAAATTTCACCCGTAGTAGTGGGTCAAGTTCCGAAAATGTTTCTTGCATTGCAAAAGCCGAAACTGGGTCATTAGTCAGCTTTTGTACATACCTCCCAATGAACCTCATCTGTGATTTGAGGTCAGACAGAGGTGCGATTTTGTACTCATCTAAAGCTGAAAAACGCTTGCCGCCTTCTTCAGCAATGAATTTTTTCAGTTCTTCCACCGCCTGAGGGAGGGTTGTAATGAGAATGCGAGATTTTGGGTGCCACGTTCTCTTTAGGAGATCACGCAAAACTCCCTCGGATTCTTTGTTAGCTTCATCAAATCCATCGACCAAGAAGAGCACGCGGAGATGCGCGAGGGCATTCAGAACATTTGTTTCGCTTATTTTCTCGCAGAGTTTTGCGAATTGGTCTCCAATTATTTGATACAAATTACTTTTATTTCGGTCCCTGCACTCAATGTAGATGAGGATCTCAAACTGCTCTGAAATGTTAGCCGCGTTCGTTTGCGATTCAACAAATTGTAAGGCTATGTTCTGAAGTAGGGTCGTCTTGCCAGCACCAGCGGGTCCAGAAAGTAAAACGTCATTTTGATTAATAATCTTCAGGAAAGTTTTGAAGGGTAATTTTCTCAGGTCGTGGTGTATCACTACAGGTGGGTGAAACATTTCTGTTCTTTTAACGCGGCCAAACTCGAACGGTAGATCTTCTTTATTGAAATTTTTGAAGCGAAGCTTAGCAATAGCTTTCCCTTCTGTGACAACCCCGTAGATGTGGTAATGCAGCTCGCTCGAGCGAGAAGAAAGCGCAAAGGTAATTACTTTATGCACCTTGCGTTTCATCGATTTTATCACACTGGAAGTGAGAGCATAGAACACAGAAGCTTCTTCGATCATGTCCAAAAGTCCATATTTTATTATCAGAAAATTTTTTTGTTCTTCCGTTGAAACGAAGTTTTGTTGTGCAATAATTACGGAGTTTTTAACTGCCTCAATTTTTTTCAACAGTTTTTCGTGAAATATACCATAGTGTTTCATTTCGAATAGACTTTTAAATAGGGCATATAGTGTAGCCATATCCATCTTATGTGGGTTCTTGGCTGTTTCCAAAGTCTCGTGTGATGGCCCACACATCTTCAACCAGGCCTCTCTACTCAAGGGGCTTCCGTGAAACTTTTCCAAGTACTCTTTGTACGAGACGGTTGCTGGTTTGTCGATGCACTCGATGTCTAAAAATTTTACAGTGCATTTGGTGCATAGGTCGGAAATTGCACGCAGTTTTTTGCTGATTATGTTAGTCCCTGTTTTAGTGGAAGCAGAGTGGAGCGCAGGCACTCTGGCACCAGATGTATTAAAGTTTCTTCGGATGCATGCTGCTTTCCTACGACTGTGCATTATTTTTTCAGCGTTTGACTTTCGAGCTGAGCTCAGCGAGGTAGATATTTCTTCTTGATTTACTGTATGTTCCATGATTTTAAGAGAAATGCACAAGCCGCAAATTCCCAGTCGATTTCGGAAGGAAATCGACTTTCGCTTGAGCCTAGGATTGCCAATCGAAAATTGCCCCTGGAACCACGATCCTGGTATCTCTTACGTTACCTGAGAAATATCTTGAATTTGTTAGATCTGTAGTTATTTATTATATTTAAATTTAATATTATGCGTTCTTCAATAAAGACTTAAAAAAGACGTTGATATTCATATTGCCGTCTCTCGAGAAGGGATATCATTCCATTCAGCGCAGAAATTATTATTTAAAATATTAATATTCTAATAATATCAATTTTAGTAATATTCACCTTCAGCCTCGGCCCTCGGCTACCCCCCTCTGTGAGACTACTGCTGGATTAACTTAAAAAACAAAGATTTAATATGTACTATAAAAAGTGCAATACATTTAAGTTACATTCATGATTGGTTGGCTGAAATAAATATTCAGTTATAACGACAACGAACAATACTCATATTTCAACAAAATGATTCATTTATAGTTCACTGATTTGAAAAAGTCATCTGAGCAAGTGATCGAATGAGCTCAACCCTGAATCGCCGTGTGTCACTCTCCGGGAATATAACTTTCAACTTAAATTATACCTAAACTATTGAGTGTAGCAACCTATAGAAAACCAGTAGAAATACGGGCAATAAAATATGGTCCCCCTAGGTTCCCCTGGAAATAACTGTTAGAAATAAGGTTCCCAGTGAAAATATTCTAAGGGGAACCTTATCTCTAGCAGTTATTTCCAGGGGAACCAAGGGGAACCATATTTTATTGAGAATTAGTTGCTAGAAAAAAAGGCTCCGAGCAGAAATACGTGCAATAATCCTGAGGAATTAAACGTGCAACTCTGTTTAAAACCTAAGAACGTTTGTATGCAACAGAGAACATTTTAAAGTTGTCGTACGTGGCGGCAACCATCAGTGCAAGTCATTTTGCGCTCACTAGAACGGATCCTTTTTGGGAAGTAGGTGCGTGACAATATTGCTCCGGTTACTCGTGTCAGGCGGTAGATGGTTAAGACCTATTTGCTGATATCGAATGAAGTAAGGTTCTATATCGTCCTCACAACATTCAATATGTCATCGGAATATTTAAAAAAAGTGTGTGCTCTCGAAGATACTTTAGATACTAGCCAAATATTGTGTGTCAATAAATCAGTAGGAAAGTTTAGCTTTACTGTAACTATGTTATATAGCAGAATAATTGAAAGTGACAAAGTATGATTTATTTATTGGGTGTAAACAAACCTGGATGTGATGAAGTACGATTTTATGTAAAGTTGAGTAACAGAAATTAGGTTCATTTAAATGTGGTTAAAGTTTTCGGCTGGCATTAGAGAGTTTCGTGTGCAGCAGCTAAAACTGGTTATTATCAGTACCATATCAGGTCTTTCGCTCACTATCTTTCAAGAGCTGATGCAACGTACTCTCATGCAACATGTAAGTCAAGTCATCTACAAAGCATTTTATACAAAACGCTCAAAATTAATTACCTTTTGTATGAATAATATCGTGGCGTGATAAAATATGGAAATTTTTTTAATATTGTTTTATGAGAGCGGAGTCAGAGAGTTAATGTTATGTGCTGCTAGCCATTGAGGTGATAGGGGTGGAGGGAATCATGCATAAATTGCTGGGCCAAAAACTAATTAAAAATTTAGATTTTCTTATGTGTTGTGAAAAAACTGATATTTGTTTAGTATTCGGAGCATTTATTTACATTGAGGTACTTCCGGGCACTGAAAAGAAAGTGTATATACTTTAATTTCAAATTGAACAGCCCGACGTCAATTACAAATGAAGTTTTTTTAGTAATATTGTTTCGACATACGTCACCACTGTAATTCTGGAAATATGATTTTTCCGCACCTAAATATGCGACAAAATAGGCAATGCGAAACATATATTTTAACATTATTTTTTGAATTTTCCAATATAATTCGCAGAAATTAGAGTATAGGTACGAAAAATCCAGCTTAGAATGTGAAATGTTCTCTTCCGGAGTGAAATTGAGAATTAGTTTGACGTTCTAAAGTTCTAGAGCTATATTAGGATTGAGATTCTAAGATGTACGACTGAAAGCACCACCAACACTACCACAGAGAAAACGACATGTACTTCTTCCACCTACCTCTCCAGTAACCAATGCCAACGGTTGTTGACTGACAAGACCAGCATCTCTGATAACGAAGCAAGATAAGAATAAAGTTCTCGCCTTATCAGATAAACTGGCAATCAATATGCAATTTTATCTCTTCCAGACTTGATTCGTTTACTCCTCACTACTCCTTTACTCTTACTTGATTTTTCGCTTACTTCCCAGGGAAATTCTATGCTGTAATGCAGGCAAATGTATCCTAAACATAAAAATCACTTGAAACGATTCAAATACAGTACAATGGATAGCGAAATTAAAAATGTACTTCGAAGTTGTTGTCTTTAGCTTCAGGACTGGGTAATATATATTTTTCGTTCTATGAACGACATATTCGATCAATGACGATGATTGGCTGGATAGATGATACAAACGGTTTTTCGAAACCCAAATGATTTGCAAAAAGAAATCGTTAATCACATTAGCTTTCAATCAAAAGATATCGAAGAATCTCACTGCTTTACCACCTAACTCATCTGACCTCAAAATGTGGCTTATGACCAATTTTTTTTGTTTAGATTTAATCTAATTTATACACGTGCGATTTATGACCAGAGAATTCGTTGATTTATATTATCAGGGAGTGGAACAATTGTGCAGATGACGGTAGATTAACAGGCAAGTTTCAGGAAGTAGTTTTTGTTTATTAACGACGTTTCGAATGCAACAAACATTCATTTTCAAGTTAGAAGCATTAAATGTTGAAATTTTGGTGGAAATAAGTACATAATATATGTAAATAGGATACAAAAGTAAAATGTTTGGACCAAAAATTACTCGGAAAGTTCTTCCAGAGTTCAGACAAATCCGGTAGTCAGAAAATAGATAGCTGGAGTCCAATCTGTAGAGATAAGGGGAGTACATTTTCAGACAAATCATTGAACTGAAATAACTATAAATTTTATTTTGATTTACATATTTTTCAGTTAACTGCATTAGAGGTTAGGAATGACGATGCAACAGAGGTGGATAAGTTTTCATTCATATTTTAGCGAAGCGTTACACCCTTAGCAACAAAATTTTTGTGTAATTTATACTAATTACACTAAATATATTTCGAAATTAGAGTAACTTTCGCAGCCAGCGCTGAGACACCCCACCAGGAGACACCCTCGACCTTGAGACACCCTCGACCTTGAGACACCCTCGACCTTGAGACACCCTCGACCTTGTGACACCCTCGACCAAATAATAAGCTGCTGCACTCGTATCCAGAATACGCTTCATTAACAGACGAATGTGGTTTACGCTCCTGAATTTCAACCGTTTTTTACAATTTTATTTTTATATTAACATGATCGCCTTTTTAATTTATCACTCAGAAAGCGCGGTATCTTATGTAACGCTGAATTCAATCGAAATTCCATTTATTATTCTTACTAACTGTATCACTCAAAAAAGCGACTGGCCGACAAAATTAAATCAGAGTTATGACCATTACCCAGATTTTAACTTTAAAAAATCTGCAACGCTAAATTAGATCAGAGCTATGATTGTAGTTCTTATATCATCACATGCGGAGATTTTCTCAAGATCACCATGTCATCACACTGGCCCTTGGCGCTGCTGCTGCTCACCCACGCGGGGCAGGCGCCCGGGCACTGGCTGTGTGAGGGGGTGGCGTGCCCCAACAACCCCGTCGTCTATGCCCAGCCCTCCGCCGCCCCCGACATCCACGGCCTGGGCAACTGCTTCACGTGCAAAAAGAGCGAGTTGGTCGAGTGAAAAACGGCGTGCATTGAATTTTTACTAGTTTTTAAAAATTGAATCAATATTGATTTCAGGTTGAAATGCTGAACAACCCAAATAAATCGTCCGATCAACGTCGAAATCTGACCAAAACAGACGTAAAACAACTTTACTTCAGCGTTGAAACAACGTCGACATTAGTTCGTTGAATGTCTATTTATTTTTAGACGTTCAATTAATGTTGATTTCAGGTTTATATGCAGAACAACCAAAATTAAACGTCTGATCAACGTCGAAATCTGACCAAAACCAGAAAGGACGTAAAACAACTTTCTGTCAACGTGGAAAAATGGTCGATATTGGTACGTTGAATGTTTAACTATTTACCAGCATGTAACTAATGCCATCACACCAACATTTTTTGAGTATGCGGAACCGATGAAGTGTCCTTGATGATGCCAATTTATACAAAGATTTAAGCGGATTTGTTCTGAAATATTTTTTTCCTCTACTCCAGGCATAACAGAATTTTTTAAATTAAATTGATCAAATT